ATATAACTTTGTTTCTTCTCTGTATGTGCGTGCATCCTTTGCGATGTGATGGATTGAGAGAGATTTCAATATGTTCGAAAAAATTTATCACTGTCTCGTTGATAGTCATGTGTGAAAGTTTGAGATCGATAGAATATGGTAGAAGAGCAGAACATGTATAATTGCAGTGAGGTATAATTGCGTTCGAGAAGACGCAAAGAATGCGACGACATGTTTCTGTATGAGTCTATCTGTTTTCTGAGTTGCAAACTTACGTCTTGGCGAGTTCTTCAGTACACCGCGGTAATCATCGCTCCGTGGTTTCACTGTTAGGGTGGTTTCGGTGCGTGCCTCGCCGACCGAGCTTCTTGCGATTACCTCGACTTTCCCGTGATCGTATTGTCTCGTCTTGGGAATGTCCAGATGGTACATGCCGTCGTATGTTAGTTTATAGCGTGATCCCTGTACGATCGAATCGAATTACAATATAGAATCATGGTTTGGAAAGGAATATGGTTATAGAAATTTTCATTGAAAAAAGACAAATGCACAAATATTTAGCCACGAACATCTTTGAACAAATTTGTATTTTTATCAACAATTAAATAAATAAAATTAAAATAAATAAATTAAATAAATAAATTAAATAAATAAATTAAATAAATAAAATTAAATAAATAAAAATAAAATAAATAACGAAAATTCTTTGAACAAATTTGTATTTTTATCAACAATTAAATAAATAAAATTGAATAAATTTAATTTTTTGAAATTAAATAAATAGAATAGCCAAGATTTGTCTGTTTTGAATGTTGAATTTTAATTTTTATTTGTAATTTTAAACGAATATTACTATACTTTGGAATTTAGTTTCTTTTTAAGATAAGATACTTACATTGACCACAGTATGTCCATTGATGATCCACATGACACGTGGCCTTGGGTGACCAGTGACGCGACAGCAGAACCTCGACCAATCACCCTCTTCGACGGTTACCGGCTCAGGTTTGCTCACAAATGTTGGAGGTGCTCGCACCTTCTCTTCTTCACCCTCCTCTTCAGGCACTCTGAATGATACATTTTCACACAAATTAAATTAAAAAGAGATACTAGTTCCTTTTTTTCTTACTTTCTTCTATAAAATAAAACACCTTTCTTAAAATGTTAAATTACTAAAGATAAAGAAGAAAAAAGTAACAATATGTTTCAAGACACCTCTGAACTTTGAACTTCGTCTGAAAGTCTAAGATGAAAGAAAGAAAAAAATATTTTCCTTTCCTCAGGATTCAATCGCTTTCTTAAAATATTAAATTATTAAAGAAAAAGTAAAAAA